CTACAGCTGTTGTAGTCACCTGGGGAGTGAACAAACATCTTTGTCCTCCTCTCTCTATATCTGCCTTTCCAATTTAAAAAAATTCATGCTTTGAGAGGGGCATACCCCAAGTCAAACTTTCCCAACCTGTGTCCTCATGCCAATAAAAACAAAATCACACACACATACACGCAAATGCATTCAAGGTAAAAAAAAAAAAAAAAATTCCTGTGCCTTGCACAGTAGCCTAGTGGCTAAAGTCCTTGCCTTGCATGTGCCAGGATCCCATATGGATGCTGGTTATTTCCCTGCTGCTCTACTTCCCTTCTAGTTCCCAGCCTGTGGCCTGAGAAAACAGTCGAGGACAACCCAAAGCCTTGGGACCCTGCACCCCTGTGGGAAGCCTGGAGGAAATTCCTGGCTCCTGGCTTTGGATCGGCTCAGCTCCGGCTGTTGTGCCTGCTTGGAGAGTGAACCAGCGGACAGAAGGTCTTTCTCTCTGTATCTGTATTTATTTATTAAAAAATAAATTTAAAGTAAATAAATACATTGAAAATAAAAATTTTAAAAATCTTTTTTTTTAATTTTAAGTCTACTTTTATTTTTAATTTTTTTACTTTGAATTTAATGGTACAATTCCATAGGGTCTGGATTTCCTTACCCCCTCCCCAAACTCCCATCCCCCTACTGATTTCCCCCATATTATTACAATAGTATAGTTTTTCATAAGCAGTCATAAGTTCATCAGTCTGCTATTGAAGTATATTTTTACATGTATAAGCACATATCATCCTCACAACAATTTTGTTCTGTAATACTATTATTATTCTTATTATGTGAATGACAACACATAGTTATAACATGTAAATAATTATCACAGGTTATATGGCTGGGTAAGTGTAAGGGTTATATTTTTTAATTATTTATTTATTTGAGAGATACATACACTTACAGAAACAGAGAGAGACAGACAGAGAGAGAGGAGCCTTAGCCTCTGGTCTACTATTCAAATGCCTGCAACAGATTGGGCTGGGCAGTGGTTGAAGTCCAAAACTCTACCAGGCTTTCCTATGTAAGCTGGAGGAACCCACTTTCCTGAGCCATCACTGCTGCTTCCCAGGATCCGCATTAGCAGGAAGCAGGATTTGGAATGGAACTCTGGCACTCTAATGTGGGACATGAATATCTTAACTGTTAGACCGAATCCCAGCCCTAGGAAGGACTAAATTTTAAAACTGGTAATCTTACCTAAGAATTCTAACTCTTACTGATTTTTTAAGATATCTGGTCATTGTCACTGCACCAGGGATGGGTTCTTACTGTCTGTGCAATCTTTCATTTTTTCTTTTTTTTTTTTCAAATACTATTCAGCTTTATTATTTTTTTTAATTGTTATTAACATTATATTATGTGATACAGTTTTATAGGCACTGGGGATTCCCCCCACCCCTCCTCCCATAGTGGATTCCTCCACCTTGCTGCATAACCACAGTTCAAGTTCAGTTGAGATTCCTTCCTTGCAAGCATATACCTAGCATAAAGTCCAGCATCTTATTGTCCAGATAAGTTTAGTGGCTTCTTGGGGAAACCTTCTCTGGTCTGAAGGTAGAGCTAACAGAGTAAAGTTCCGGTCAGTTAAAAGCCCCAACAAAACATCAGCAACAATATACAATGTTATGGAATTAATTGACATAGTATTGAGTAAACAATATGTTAAAAATAATGCAAGTTCAATTCTTCAAAACACATGGGTTGAGACAGTATCAATGACAGGTTCAAAAACTAACAAATAAACAAACAAAAATTACAGGTTAAATCAAGGCAAACATGTGGTATCTAACCTTTTGGGATTCGCTCATTTCCCTTAGCATTATAGTTTCCAGTTGGGCTCATTTAGCCACAAAGAACTGCATTTTGTTTTTTTTAATAGCTGAGTAGTATTCCATGGAGTAGATGAACCAAAGCTTTCTTATCCAATCTTCTGCTGATGGGCATTTCGGTTGCTTCCATGTTTTTGCAATTACTGATTGTGCTGCTATGAACATAGGGGTGCATGTTGGTTTGTCGTGAAACAGGTGTTTTGGATATATTCCTAGGAGTGCTATTGCTGGATCATATGGTATGCAGATTTTGAGTTGTTTGAGTGTTCTCCAGACTGATTTCCATAAAGGCTGTACTAACCTGCAGCGCCACTAGCAGTGGAGTAGGGTTCCCTTTTCCCCACATCCTCGCCAACAAGTGTCCTTGGTGTTCTTTTTTATGATGGCCAATCTTACTGGTGTTAGGTGGCACCTCATCGATGTCTTAATTTGGATTTCCCTTATTGCCAGGGAACTGGAGCATTTTTTCATATGTTTGTTTGCTATTTGGGCTTGTTGCTTTGTGAAATGTTTGCCCATTTCCCATGCCCATTTCTTGAGTGCTTGTTTGTTTTGGTTTTTTGGTTGTTTTGGAGCTCTTCTATATCCTGGAGATTAGCCCCCTATCTCCTACATAGTGCGCAAAGATCTTCTCCCATTCTGGGGGCTGCTTTTTTACTTTGCTTTGCTTTTTACTTTGCTTTTTTACTTTACTTAAATTTAAAGTAAATAAATACATTGAAAATAAAAATTTTAAAAATCTTCAAAAAAAAATTCGCAGGACTAGACATGAAGCCAGAGAGATTCAGGGCCTAGTCTCAAGCTTGTTTAACAGATGGCTCAGTGACAGCTCACTTTGGGTCCCAGAACTATTGGGGGGCGGGGTGGGGTGGTAGAGATCCTAAGAACCTCCTCCTGGGCCCCACCTCAGACCATCAGGCTGAGCTACCACACACTGGGCCCCACCTCTTAAAGGTGCCACCACCTTCTCTAAGGCCACACTGGAAAACAAGGTTCTAGTGCTTGAACCTTTGAGGAGGAAAGCCACAATGAAACCAGAGAACCTTTCTTCCCAATTTCTTCCCTCATCTGTTGGTGATTAGCCATGTGAGTCTTAAGTAGAGGACATCCCTTTTTTTTTTTTTTAAACACAAAATAAAATCATTTTTCCTGAGTCATTGATTTGGAAACTTGGGCAAAGTGAATTGCCCAAGGACCTGGCATGATGCAGTGCAGGCTTTTGATTGTGGTGCCTTTTGACTCAGAGTCCCGTGCATCTGCCATGTGACCAACAGACGCTTGTGCAACAATGAATGGGCTTCCATTTTGAGTGTTCGTGATTTTCAGCGTCAGGATTGGCAGGCAGCTCGCGTTTCTCAGTCACACCGCTTTGGGCACAAATGTATGAGACCACCAACTCTTTTGAGTGCCGTAAAAAAGTTGGGATTATCCTTTGGAGTGTGTAAATAAGAATACTACGGCAGGGATGCCACTTCCTTCTCTACCTCACAGGTATACCCCAGGTATACAGCCAAGGACTAAAAATATCCACTAACTCTGTCTTGTGTCATGTGCCCAAGCCACAAATAGTCATTTGTAGGAAGTTCATGTCCAGGCAGGCTTGCTATTCTATAGCAGGGACAAAAAAAAAAAAATCACAAAGTGTGGTGGTATTTCAGCTTTGAACTGCCCAGACTCCCTATGGGCCCATGAGGCATCGATTCACCTGGCAGCCTGGCGTCTGTAGGGACCCTAACCAGGATGGAGTAGGGAAGGCAAGATCACCCAGTCATCCCTCCTACTCGCAACAAACACCTGTGGATACCTGGCCAGGTCTTTCCTCCCTCAAAATGATGTTCCTCATGTTCTCCACCTGCCTGCAGCCTTGGGCCTGTCCTGCCTTCCACTGCTCTCTCTGCTCAGCTCCACAGAGGCTGTCAGCTCTTCTTTTCCCGAACTCGGTTCAAATAAGAAGATGCCCTGGGTTTAGTGGCTATAGGAACTTTGCTTCTTTCCATAAAGGATTAAAATGAGTCTCTATGAGATTGCAGTCTAGAACAGTCTACAAAAATGTAAAGTGGTGTTTGGCCCTAAAAATGTTATGCGTCATTGTTAATGACTGCTTCAGGCCATGGACCCCCCCACCACAGGCTGGACGATTTAGGACAAATTGCCTCATTCTCATTCCTGAAGTTCTTCACGTCTATGAAAATCCTGGGGCTACTTGAGTATGAAGTGCTAAAGCATGGCACCAGCTGGTATTGCTGTAATCATGGCCCTTCACACCTCTGGCCCTTTGTCCCCAGGCATTTATCTAACACAGCAATCCCAGCTTCTCACGTTAATCTCTTTTCTTGTCCTGAGTTTATTTGCCCCCATATCCAGCCAAATAAAGCCATGCCGACTGTACCACGTTGAGGGGGTAGGGTAGGGTCTCCCTTGGGCTACTGTAGAATCAGTGAGCCAGATGTAGACCTGGGTGGTGTGAGGAACGTGTTGAGAACTGAGGTACCTGAAACTAAAACAAGGAACCTTGGACGTCGTTAGGATATGTATTTGAGGTCCAGGTGGGTTAGTTGCCGGGCTGGGTTTCAGGGTAATAGGGTGGGGAGCGCCCTAATTCTGAAAGGGGAGGGGAGGGAGGCCTCAAGCTCAGGGCTTGGGGTTCAGGAATGTGGGGAGGCCTGGCAGGGGTAAGGAGCCTCCAAGGGTGCCCACAGCCAGGGGATCGGAGAGGAGGGGTCCTCAGGATCTCTGAGGAGAGCAGGTCGGGTCTGTGAGAGTCTCAGGGTTCGGGGGGTTCCTGAGGAGAGCAGGGCCGAGTCGATGCTCTTCCGAGGGCCCCGAGGACCACGCCCGGTCAGCGCGGGTCCCGCGGCCGCCGGGCTCCCGTCGCGGCGCGGCGCGGAGATGCGTCCCACCCGGCCGCCGGCCCTGGCGCCGCCCCGCCTGACATCAGTTCCTGCCGCCGCCGCCGCCGCGGCGCAGAGCCCGCGGCCTCCTTCCCCGCCGGCCGCGCTCGGAGCCGCCGGGCCGCGGCAGAGCGAGGGCCCGGGCGGGGTGAGGCGAGGGCCGGGCGGCGGGCGCCGGGCCCCGCGGCCGGCACGACGGAGCCCCCGCACGGCCGGCGGCAGCGGTTGGCAGCGGCCCCCGGCCCCCGGCGCGGCAAGCGGCGGCGGGGCGGCGGCGGCGGCGCCATGGAGCCCCGAGAGGTGAAGGACCGCATCCTGGAGAACATTTCGTTGTCGGTGAAGAAGGTGAGCGCCGCCGACCTTCCCGATGCGGGGGCCCCTTCTTCACCTCCTGTCGTGTCGTTCGCCGGCTCGCTCGGGGGCCGTTGCCCTTCTGTCACCGGGACTCGGGGGGCCACCGCCCTGCCCCTTGGTGACCCGGGCCGGGCCGGTGGAGCCGCCGGAGGGGAAGCGGGGTCCCTCACGTGAGAGCCGCCGCAGCCTCGAGCTCTTGTTAGAGAACAAAGTTGAGATCAGCATCCTCAGAGCTTCCCCTTGTGGGGTTCGGGGGCCCGGCCCTCCCCCAGAGGGAGGGAGGGGACCCGTGGTACCCCAGTCGCCGCGGGGAAGGCCTCTGGGGGGACCCCGGCTGCTGCGCGGCTGCGGAACCTCCTTCCCCGCCGCCAGGGTGAAGGCCGAGCGAGCCGCTTGCAGCTTCCCCAGCTCCCAGTGCTCCAGCGACCTTGCCCCTGGCCCCGGGGCAGCTGTTGCCAGTAGGAGGGCCCGGGCACCGCGCCGTGGGGGGCGGGGTCCTTGTCCCCGATCCTGGTAGACTTGAGGGGTCCCCTGCCAGAAGGCAGAGAATTCATCCTCTGAAAGCCTAGACGGCCAGCCCAGAGAGGATACGCTTTTCAATTTCTGGCACAACTGATGAGGTGTCAGAAACTGGGGGGCGTGGGGGGGGGGTAGGGCTGGGGTGGAGGATATTTAATTTGAGGTGGGAGGAGAAAGCTTTACTCCCTTATCAAACCAAAACAAAGAGAATTAAATCACTCTGTGTGTGAGGATAGTTCAAGAAGTTCTGGAAACGTGGAATGGAAAGATGTTTATTTTGGTGTAAAAACTTTTGACATCCAAACGTTGTTGTTCACGCTGGACATTTCCCTGAAGACTTATTGTGTGCATGGATTTCAAACATTTTTGCATCAAAATAAAATTTAGTCTATGTGCTGCCCAAAATACATTTATCTTTTCATTTCATTTTTCATGAACTTTTTGAAATGCCAAATATAAATAACTGATTCTTTTTTCCCACCTAAATTCCTCAGAAGTAACACCAGCAAGCAATTTTATCTTTTAAAAAGGTAATTGTACCTTAAAAAGAAAAGAAGATTCCCAATTTTTAATACGATATATTTATTTACTTGGAAGGCAGGGTTATAGAGTGAGAGGTTTTCTATCTGCTGGTTCATGCCCCAGATGGTCACGAAGGCCAAGGCTGGGCAGAGGGAGCCAGGAGCTTCTTCTGGATCTCCCGTGTGGGTGCAGGGACCCAAGCCCCTGGCTCTTTCTCTGCTGCTTTCCCAGGCGCCTTAGTAGGGAACTGGATATTGGTCTCAAAGGTATCCTTGATACCACAACACTAGCTCTGACCCAAAATGTTTTTACTAAAAAGTTTCCATAAAAGCAAAAAAAAAAAAAACACAAACAAAACCATGGCATTACAGAGCTCTGATAGGAATTGTGGTGTTTCAGCTTTCCTGAGCTCCACCGTGTTGTGGGGTGTTGTTCCTGCTTATTCACGCAGTGTGGCGTGAGCAGGTAATGTGTCTTTCGTAATGGATGTGGAGTGGAGACTGCTGACCTTTCTCATCTGATTTGGGCTGATGGTGACTTTAGATAGGCTGAGCGTTTGGTGTTTGAATCTCCAACACATCAGTGGAGAGTGCCCAGAGGAGACTGTCTCCTTTAGAGATGTGGGCACTCTGTCACAGGTGTGAGCAGGGATCGGTTAAAGTCAGCCTCACTGGGCTTCAGGCTGTCATCCATGAAAGAGGTGGCTGTGGTTTTTAGGATGCTTATAAACATATGCGTTGGGACAAGCACATTTTATTGACACACTAGAAACTGGAACGCCAGCCCCGTGTGCATTACGACCAAAGGCGTGACCGAGATCGTGCTTCAAACCAGCTGCTTGTGTCGCGTGCCTAGCCTGGCAGTGAAGGGCCTGTGACCTTGGGCAAGTTTGCTAATGTCACTGTATCTCCACTTCCTCATCCTAATGCAGGGATAAAGCTAGCTCCACTCTGTTGCTTTCTGAGATGTATTAGCAGGCAGCTGGATTGCAAGTGGAGCAGCCAGAACATAAACTGACACCCATAGGAGACACCACATTGCAGGTGGTGGCTTAATGCGCTGTACCACAACGCTTAACACCTGCCCCTCAGGTGGCGTGGTAGTGCTGCACACACTCCTGCTCCACTTGGCACGTTTGGATACTTAGCGCTTAGTGTAGTGCCCGATCCTGTCTTAATAAAAGGTGGCTTTGTTGCTGTTGGTTGGTGGCAGGACTGATTGTTCACTTCTTCATCCTCACCTGATGACTGGTCAGGCGCCGCCCTGCCTGAATGTTGTTATACAGCGCTTTTCTGCTTGTTTGCCACTTTCCTGGCGTGCAGACATGCAGTATGACTGTTGCATCCTGAAGTGGCTTTGGTTTTCTGAATAAACATCTGCTTCTAATAGGCGACAGTCGATGCTGACGGTCAGTAGTCTTGAGATTACCTCTGTCCTGCGACACTGATCACACCCACATTTGTTATCCAGCGCCTTGAGGGTTGTGTTGTCTTTTTTTTTTATCCATCCTACTCCAATAATACTGTTCCTTTTTTAAGAATGTCACATAGAGCCTGGCTTGATGGCTCAGTGGCTGAATCCTCATTTTGCAAGTGCCGGGATTCCCTTTGGTTGCCAGTTTGTATCCTGACTGCTCCACTTCCCATCCAGCTCTCTATTTATGGCCTGGGAAAGCAGGAGAAGATGACCCAAAGCCCTTGGGACCCTGCACCTGCATGAGAGACCTAAAAGAAGTTCCTGGCTCCTGGCTTAAGATTGGCTCAGCTCAGGCTATTGTAGCCATCTTGGGAGTGAACTAGCCGCAGTGGATGGAAGATCTTTCTTTTCTTTATAAATCTGCCTTTTCAATAAAGTAAATCTTTTTTTAAAAAGATTTTTTTTTTTTGTTTTTATTGGGATGTCAGATATACAGAGAGGAGGAGAAACAGAGAGGAAGATCTTCCATCTGATGATTCACTCAAGTGGTCACAATGACTGGAGCTGAGCTGATCCGAAGCCAGGAGCTTCTTCCGGGTCTCCCATGTGGGTGCAGGGTCCCAAGGCTTTGGGCTGTCCTCGACTGCTTTCCCAGGCCACAAGCAGGGAGCTGGATGGGAAGAAGGGTCTGCCAGGATTAGGACCAGCACCCGTATGGGATCCTGGCATGTGCAAAGTGAGAATTTTAGCTGCAAGGCTTCCACGCTGGTTCCCTAATGAGCATCTTACACTACACAGCTTGGGTTCTTAATGCTCAGGGTATAGCCAATTTTCTCAAAAAGTCAGTTGGTAAGTATTTTCAGGCACTGTGATCTTTGTTAAAAGTACTCAGTTCTGTTCTTGTGGCTCAAAGCAGCCACATGTTTGTGGGTGTGGTTGTGTTCCAGGAATCCTTCCTTTACTTACAGAAGTAGGCGGCAGGCTGGATTGAGTTCATATATGGACTCACTTGTGCACATAGAAAGTCTTCAGCAAGCTAAGCTAGATGCGCGTCAGTTACAGACACACTGGTTTGACTGGCAGTAACCCAGTCTCTGTTGGAGCTGTGGTTTGGCAGTGTCTGTCAGGTTCATGAGATGAATGTGGATGCTTGACAGCCCATCACGTGTCCATGTATGCAGCTGCTAGCAGAGCCTCTGAGCACCTGCCTGCACTGTGTTCTCACAGCTCTTGACCCTGAGCTGGTGGCAGTGACCAAGACAGAAAGGGTCTCTACCCTCATAAAACTGTCTAGTAGAAGAGGTTCCAGGGTGCCTTAGGGTTCAGGGCATCCAAGTGATGGGGTAGAGAGTGGTCAGGGCTGTGCGCTTTGGAGGAGGTGGCTGGGAAGATCTCAAGGCCGGGGCATTGTATGCAGCAAGGAACGTTGTCTAGGATAAAATGATGAAAATAACTTTTTTTCTAAGCAAGTAAGTAGTTTTTAAAATACACACCAATATGTAGCTTAGAAGTATGAAAAAAAAAAGTCACCTTCCTGTCCTCCCTCCCTTTAGACAAGTTGAATAAATTCCAGTAAAGTAAATGATGCCCCAGAATAAGCGACGAGTGGTGACCTTCTCTGGCCTGGCTCTCCCACCGACCTCTGACCATCAGTGCAGCCCCTGCGTGAGGTTTTGTTTCCGATCAGCACTTCTGCCTCCAGCAGGAGACTCCCAGTCAGGGTATGGGTGGGGTTGTTGGTGAATGAGCTACAGCTGTTCCCAACCTAGCCGGTCAGCGCAGCAGGAAGGGTGGCCCTGCGGGGTGGGCCTTCTCCCAGTTTTCCAGTCCTTCTGATGGCTACAGCTGCCTGTCCACAGAAAGCTCCCTCCTGGACAGGGACTGGTGGCTAGATGTATGCGAGAACTGTATGACCCGTTAGGTTTAGATCAATAGTTTTGTTCTCTCTGGTTCATGGGAAACCGGTGACCATATGGGATCCCGGCACATGCAAGGCAAGGACTTTAACCAGTATGCTATCGTGCCAGGCCCTAAAGATTTGTTTTTTATTACAAAGTCAGATATACAGAGAGAAGAGACAGGGAGGAAGATCTCTATCCAATGATTCACTCCCCAAGTGACCGCAACGGCCGGTGGTGTGTCGATCTGAAGCCAGAAACTTCCTCCAGGTCTCGCATGCGAATGCAGGGTCCCAAGGCTTTGGGTCGTCCTTGACTGCTTTCCCAGGCCGCAGGCAAGGAGCTGGATGGGAAGTAGAGCGGCCGGAATTAGAACCAGTGCCTATATGGGATCCTGGCATGTTCAAGGCGAGGACTTGAACCTCTAGGCCACCGTGCTGGGCCCAGATTTATTTATTTTTATTGCAAAGTCAGATGTACAAGAGATAGCCGGGAGGTAGGGCGGCTCTTGAGAGAGGGAGAGACACCCCATGATGTCTGTCTTAAGGTGACAACAGTTAACGCATTCCATGGGTCAGAATTATGGGCCAGTCCTCCTTAACACCACTGTTCATTTAGCAGGCTTTGTTGAGTAGA